TCCCCCGACCCTCCAAGTAGGACCCCTTCGGTCAGAGATCAGGCTGGCTCTGCGTGGAGTTCCTGCCGGGACCGATGTGTCGCACTTCAACGCTGCGGTGAGCGCTTGCCAAGAAGGGTGCGCTGCTCCTAACCCCTAAACCCCTAAAGCCCTAAACCCTGAACCCCTAAAACTCCAAACCCCAAAACCCTAAGCCCTAAACCCCTAACACCCGAAACCCCTAAACCCTCAACCCTGGACGGCTTCGGGCTCGAGGATTTAGGGTTTACCTAGACCTACCCCAAGTACCACTAACTATTAAGGCCCTTATAAGGGCTTCGGGTTCAGGGTTCAGGGTTTAGGGCTCTATTAAAGGGCCATTGGGGGTTCCTGGCATGGTTTGGGGTTGAGAGTTTGGGTTCTGCGTTTTTCGGCTTTGCTTGGGGGTTTTGGGTCCAGTTTGGGGTTTAGGGTTCAACTCGTGGTCATTCACTAAACTTAGGGGTTTAGGGTTTAGGGGCTAAACTTAGGTTTTCAGATTCTAGGATCTAGGATTTGAGTTTCGGGTTTGTTGGGCCTGCTTAGGGATCCTTGTTTGGCGTCTTTGTATCAAGGATTCTAGTTACTACGTAGGTCGTGGATTATCGTCCCTTGTTCTCCGAAACTCCCAAATCTTGTAGAATAGAGGCCCTCTACTCAAGTTTGAAGTTTTTCTTGCCCTGACATCCTAAACCCAAAACCCCATACCCTAAACTGCTAAGCCCGAAGCCCTAAACACACTTTTATCCGAAGGCTGGGTTGCTGTTAAGGAGCTGAAATTGAAATCTATTTGCTACAAATAAGGAAACCCTGTTATTCACTATATTCTAGGTCGTATTCGGGAGACCCTTTAAAGGGGACCCTTGTGAACCCTACTTCTGGCTTTCTTAAGAGCGACCTTGTTGAGAGGGTCGATATCTCCCCCTAATCCTAACTCCCGCGACATATCCTGAATATGGTAACATAAGTTGAGATCCTAACCCTCAGGGTCCAAGTACCTGCAGTAATCATGTACTCTCCTGAATACTAACCTACAAAACTTCTATCCGTAACCACAGTACATGATTGTTAGGCCCTTAGGGTACCCTAAACCCTCAACCCTAA